CGTGGTGAGCTGTTTCACTTTACACTTTGACAATTGCAGTTTAGCTCATAGAATCATTTTTCTCTCACACACAAGTACAGTTTGTGAAATCACACCTTAATTGCTGTCGGTTTAGGCCTTGTTACTTGGAAAATTCAATTTATGAAACTGATTGAAACAGAAAAAGTGGGCAATATTAGATTTCTGATGCAATCGTACATTCCTCAAAAAGGGTGCTGTTATTGCTGAGCGGGTTTGCAAGAGCACGCCAATTTTCACCTCTAAATTAATTTATGATGTGTTTATACCACCCATTTTCAAACTCGCTTTAAGCTTCTGCAGTGTAAATTAACTGTAAAGGTCCAAGTGCCTCAGATTCAAAATAGACTGTAACTTCTTTCTGCAGAATCTCAATCTACTGAGACTTAACTCTGGGTTCGAGTTACATTTCGAAATGCAGTACTGCATGACATGTCATTACCAACAAACAGCAGTTGTAGCTAGAATTCAACCAGTTGTAGTTTAAGGCACAATGGCACAGTTCAACTGAGGTTGCTGTTTCACAACTGCTCTTATCATTTCTTCTCTACAAATAGGAATTCAGCTATTGTTTATCCAGTGGAGGGTGGTCACTTAGATTGGATGGCCGGTTTGCGATGCAGAATGACAGTGACAGCGTAGGTTAAATTCCCACACCAGTTGAAGTTGCCATAAAAGTCCTGTCTCCTCAACCTCTCCCCTTGCTTGAGGTGTGGTGACCCTCAGGTTAAACTACCACCGGTCTGAAATAACTCTTTAGAGGCTGGCATCCCAACACCGATCACCTTTTATTTACAAATGCATAGCCTTTGACAATAGCACTGCCTCTGACTGAGTCAGGCATTCGGTGCTCATAATCCCTGATATTCACCCTTTTATGTCAGCCAAGTCTCCCTGATTGGACCAGATTAACAGCACCAATCAGGGAACTCATATTCTGTGAGGTCTAGCTGGCTGACCTTGCTACAATCTTTACTCAGTTGTCTCTCTTTATTGAAAGAGCAGCCCTATGGTCCTCTGTGATTATGGCAATTTTACTTTTACCGATCCAGTGACTCTTGCTGTGAAATGCAAATACATGCCTCTGAGTGAATGACAGATTGTTGCAATCATAATGTAAAATTGATTATCAATATTCAACCACTGTCATCTCATTGTTATACTGGAGATCTTTTGTCGATTAAACATGGTATTAAGAAGGAAAAATACTGACCTAAAATGTTTGTGTGATCACCTGATGCGAGATTAATGCAAATCTATTTGAAATACACAAAACCAGCTAAATCACAATGAACATTTATATCGAGAGGCACTGTTACTCAACGAAGCATCAAGAAACTTAAATCTGTGTCTCCTGTTTAATCTGTATATGTATGATAATTTCACATAATGGGCAATGAAAGGCTTGCCTGCCATTTAGCCAGTCTGGAAGATCAATGAGCAGACTCGGGAATATACTTATCGACCTTGTCAACAGCTGCTTCTCAGCAGAGACCAGGAAAAATGGATTTATAAGCAAGAATGCGAAGCCACTCTGCTTCCCTCTTTCATTGACCCCAAAAGTCGATGCTGACAGAATTTGGGACAAGCATTATTAATTGAAAACTCACCCTCAGGAGTAGATGGTGAAATTCCATTTTATTGTATTCAGGTAAACCTTAGAATTGGCTCCTCCATTTTGATCTACTTAACCAAGATCTAATTGAGGTGTGCAAAGTCAGAAATCACAGGACGCCAGGTTATAGTCCAACAGGTTTATTTGAAAACATAAACTTTTGGAACCTTAGTCTTCCTAACACCTGAAGAAGGACTGAGGCTATGGAAGCTTGTGTTTTCAAATAAAACTGTTGGACTATAACCTGGTGTCATGTGATTTCTGACCATGTCCATCCCAGTCCAACACTGACACCTCCACATCATAATTGAGGTGTGATATAGCTTCATGCTAAAGAGAAATAAAAATATTTGTTGCAACCGACTGAGAGACGTGTTAAAAAGAGTGAAGTCAATATTCTCCCTTCTCACCTGATCATAACAAATTTACATAGACTATTTTGTACAGCATCGAACTTGGCTGTAATGCTAACCAATCAAGCATCAGTGTTCACAGTGAAGGTTCACAGATTAACAATCATTTATTCAAGGGTTCCAGCAATCATTGGAATGCTGTGTAATAATAAGGTGAGCACCTTCAGGAAAATAGAGATGAGAACTTTGGCCAGAGGAGGAAAATATATTTCTTGTTATCTTTAAGTCAACTGCTAGATGACAGAATCTGATGTTAGATTCAAGTAATATTTACAACAGGGAGAAAATTACGCACTACTCAAACCTTTAATGAACAGCAGTACTAGAAACCTGTTATATTTTCTAAAACAAAATCTGCATAAATCTGTCAGCTGTGTAACTGTGTGCTATGAATCAGAGCTCACTGGCAATTGCATTAAGGTAGCTGTTAATTTGTGAAGAATGGTGATGGTAGGAATACTGTGGCTGCATTTCTGTGGATGAGGTCGGGAGGGGGGTGAATTCATGCAGTTTCTCTGGGCTTCCAATGCAATTTTCTTAAAGTTGCGGCAGATGATTGGAAAATTCCTAACAGAACTTCAATGCATGAAAATATAAATTTTAATTTATATTTACACCTTAAATGGATCCACAACTTGTGCACCTCCAATAAGGCCAGCATCTGCATGTGCAGTAACTTCATGGTTAAATATTGTACCAACACTTGTCAATTCCGTGAACTAATGCTCTACTGGGTGTTGTCTAAGGTCTGAGGCTGGCTAATTGGTTAAAAGAAGACAGGCAGCATAGATGGAAGTTCTCAAATGGTCTTTTGTTTGAAATTTCTGTGACTTTGTAAAATAAAGCTAAATTGAATTGAAACAAAATTAAAATGAAGGGATATCAAAGTGGAGCATAAATCCTTTCTATTTGGTTTACAACACACATGTATTCACAATAATATTAAGCTGTTTCTGACCATTTACACTCTGGCTTATAATGAAAGACAGACTAAAATATAATTAATGATGATCATATTGCTTCTGCTTTTCTTACTGTTCTTCAGCACTGAAGCATGAAATATTAAAAAAATTGAAAAATGGTATCATCTCTTCAGCTGCAAGCCATTCATTTTCTATCACAACAGGGACAAATTCTTCATCAATTTTCATCAACATCTAAAATTGCAAAAGGAAACCAACATTTATAGTAGAAATTCTTGGGCTAGTGTAATAATATCTAGCTGAAAGCATGTATGATACGTTCATGATTTGAACTTTATTCTTCAGGAAAGTATTTAAAAGCTAATTAAAGATACAAATCAAAGCAACAAGCTGATTCTTTCAACTTGCAGATCAGAAGAGTCAATTTAAATGGTGGGCCTGATCTGTCGTCTTGGTATTTGGTGTGGGCCACATTCAAGAAAAAAGTGCATGCACTGCTTTTCTTTACTTTATACAAAAATTGATGTAGTTTATGTCAATATGTGAATGTGAGGGCCTGTTTCTAATGTGTACCACCAGTGTTCCTACTATTCTTCACTGACTCTAAGCATCCCTGTGGCTAGCTGAAATAAGTAGTGGATCAATTTAAATGTGCAAAGTAGTATTATACTAATGATTATAGATCATTCTATAAAACGCACAAGAAACTAGTGGGATGTACAGCATATAAATTTCTCTTGCTTCACAATGGTACTGGAGACAATTACAGAAGTGTTAGAAAACATTTTCATTAATTCCCTTCTCATGCGGAACGGTGATGGGGAAGGAGCTCCTCCCGACTCCAAATCTACTGTGTATACTCTCCTTTCTTGCATCTTCTCCATGTATTTGGAAGTTTCTGATGATCCCTGAGTGCACTGAGAATTCTCAGGCACTGATTTGCACTTGGACAGAATATCTCCACTGTGGTGAAAATGATTTAATTGAGAATATAGAATGCATGGTTAGTAAGTCTGCAGATGACACGAAAATTGGTGGTATAGTGGACAGTAAGGAAGATTATCTAAGATTACAAAGAGATCTTGATCAATTGGGTCAACATGCTGAGGAGTGGCAGATGGAGTTTAATTTGAATAAATGTGAGGTATTGCAGTTTGGTAAAACAAACAAGGGCAGAACTTATACAATTAAAAGTAGGGCCATGGGTAGTATTGTAGAACAGAGAGACCTGTCAGGTTCAGGTACATAATTCTTTGAAATTTGCTCGAATGTAGACAGGGCAGCTTAGCACACTTGCCTCCATTGCTCAGACCTTTCAGTATGGGAATTGAGATGTCATGTTGAGGCTGTGCAGGACGTTGCTGAGGCTTCTTCTGGAGTACTGTGTGCAGTTCTGGTCTCCTGTTATAGGAAGGATATTATTAAGCTGGAGAGTGTTCAGAAAAGATTTACCAGGATGTTGCCAGGAATGGAGGGTTTGAGTTATAAGGAGGGGCTGGATCGGCTGGGACTTTTTTCATGGAGCGTGGGAAGTTGAGGGGTGAACTTATTTAGGTCTATAAAATCATGAGGAGTGTAGATAAGGTGAATGGCAGGTGCATTTTCCCTAAGGTGGGGGATTTCAAGACAGGAGGCATATTTTTAAGGTGAGAGGAGAAAGACATGAGGGGCAACTTTTCTACACAGAGAGTGGTTTTTGTGTGGAATGAACTTCCAGAGGAAGAGGTGGATGCGGATACTGTTACAACATTCAGAAGACATTTGGATAAGTACATGAATAAAAAATGTTTGAAGGCATATGGGTCAAGCGCAGGCAGATGGGACTAGTTTAGTTTGGTATTATAGTCGGCGTGGACTAGTTGGACCGAGACTCTGTTTCCATGCTGTATGACTCTATGACTCTCAGAGAAAATTGGGAGGCATAAGTGGTGGGAAAGAAGGAGGCAAGGAACATTTGGATTTAAGTGGTCTCGTGTGGATTGTTTTTGAGAAATCGTCTAACTTCATACATCTATTGATTCTCTTTTGCAGGCCTGTGTGCAGCTCAAAGACACGTCCAGGTACAGGAAGGTCCATTGATCAGAGCAGAAGGATACCACATAACCATTTGGTGTAATGTATCTGGATATGTGGGTTCCACACAGCAGAACTTTGAATGGTCCATCTATCTGCCTTCTGCACCTGAAAGGCAAATCCAGATAGTCAGCACAAATGATCCTGGCTACCCCTATGCTGTCTATGCAGAGAGAGTCCATAATAATGAGGTCTACGTTGAGAGAATTGATGGAGACTCAGCACTGTTACACATCACCAATCTACAACTACGAGATACAGGGGAATATGAATGCCACACTCCTAACACAGAATCAACCTACTGGGGATCCTACAATGCTAAGGGGAACCTGACAGGTAAGTGATCCCTAGCTTTGCACTGTTTGTCTTTGTTACAGAGGCGTGTAACAGGTAATAACAAGGCAACATTAAATGTGCTGCATTCCCTTTGAAGAAGCAACAGGTATTTTTGTAACAGTGTCAGGGTATAATTATTTCACAGATGTTGCAGTAACATAAAGCTGTATAGGTTTTTTATATTGAAAATGGTTCAAAATTGTGCTTGGTTAAATTAACTTTCAAGTCTGTTCAACCAACTTTTCCACACAGAGAATGGTTCATGCACGGAACAAGCTGCCAGAACAGGTGGTGGAGGGGGGTACAATTATGACATTAAAAAGGCATCTAGATGGGTACATGAATAGGAAGAATTTAAAGGGATATGGTCCAAATGCTGGCAAGTGGGATTAGATCATTTTAGGATATCTGGTCGGTACAGACGAGTTGGACCAAAGGATCTGTTTCCGTGCTGTATAACTCTATGACTCTGGAACCTAATAGAAATATTCACTGTAGACTATGGATTTTCTAGTATTGCATTTGCAGAGCTTTACCTTATTATTAAAGTAGTTTTCTCATTTATTTACTCCTATATTCAATCTTCACTAAAATACAGACTGTAGACAAGGTCTCTTTAAAATTGAGCCCAGGTGTGATACATTATTCAAAATAAGTGGTTACAGTAATATTTTGTGTGTCAAGATTCTTAATAATGTGCTTCATCTGGGACCATTTTTATAGGAGAAGGTGTCTGTAATCTGGGAAACATGTCGGAATGTAAATAAGATACCGCTGCTTGCAGTAAAGAAAATGAAATATTTGAAAAGATTCCTTCCAGTATCACACAGATACTCACTTAAAAATCTGCATTTGTGCACGATTAGCAAAGAATTTCATTTGATCTGAATAATGTTAAACTCATTCACCCCAGAAGTAATATCTATCTGCATTCTACACCATTGGTTTCTTCCACGTTGAGTGCTCGATCCCTCACATATTTGGATAATTCTCTTCTGTTTGTCCTTCAAGGTCTTAAAATTCCATTGGGGAGGGAAACCTGGTCTTAGAAACATGAAAAGCCTTAAAGCACAATAGGAGGCCATTTGGCCCGTTGTGTCTGACCTGGATCAGGCTTGCCTAAAATACCATCTTGATAGCGAAGTAGCCATAAGTGCTTTTGCAATTTCACTTGGTATAGTTAAACCAGAAGGACAACCAAATCTAGTGTGAGTTTGTGGCTTGAGATTACAGCAAAGCTTCATGATTAAGCAAGAGATACAGGAGTCCCAGGACTAGACACATTTGCAGGATTACTGCAAACAGACTTAATCTCAGCATTAGTACTCCATCTCTTCCATATACATACACTAAAAAAAGGTTACTAATTCTGTATGGTAGATGCAGAGCAAGTCTTTTTCCATTGACATCTGAATTCCTTATTTTGGATTGTTGCACTAGCATAGTACACTGGCTTTTAAAGAATCTTAGTGTTTGTTTCAAGTGAGTGGTTTAGGTTGCTGACTGTTACTGGAGTCAAAAAGATGTTTGCCATGATTTAAGAAATGATGGATCTGTAAAGATAAACTGCTCATCCAAACCTTCCCATCCATGCAGTTGCAATGCGTTGTACATCACAATGTATATATTGTTCATTTCATTCAAGAGCCTTGCCATCTTCTGGGAGAGGCACAGAACCAGATTTTAAAAATAAATAGTTCATCTTAAAAGTGTAGAAATATCTTTTTCAATTGCCTTAAATGTGAATGGACATTGCCCCCTCTCCCCAATCTTTTAGATGATCAAAACTAGTCTAGGAGATGACATCTTGTCATATCCCATCAACCAAAAACTGACAAAGCTCTCACTTTGGGAAACCAAAACTAATATCTTAACATAGGCCTCATATGAGGATGATAGTACACTGTCCTATAAGTATGTTTTAACATTGTGTTCACTCAATAGCACTTAATTCAAGTCTTTTGTCAAGAAGCCAAAGCAATTTATGCACTGGAATGCCCAAATTCTTTCTCCGCGAGCTTCAGTATTTCTCCTGAATATATTCAGTACTCACACATTAATACTTATCCAGCATTGCCCGTGGGAATAACATTGCATTTTGTAATTTAAACATCATTTGCCAGTTAAGAGCCCAATTCGCCACTCATCTAGATCCATTTGAAAGGATTATTTACAGCCTTAACTATTGCATAAATCTTACTATCATCTCCAAACTTGAAGATCATTCCCCCAAGCTTATATCTAGCCTAGCCTACTGAGTTAAAATGATAATTAGCAATGGTCCTAATGAAACATTGTAATGATCGCTCTCTAAATAGATCCAAAATTATCTAACCTCTTCCTGTAGTAGGCGTTCACCCGGTTCTCAATCCACCACAGTACGTCACCAGTGATAGCTGACAGCTCAACATTTTAGTCAAGCCTCTAATTCTGTACCCTGCTGCAAGCTTTTTGGAAAAATATTTGGGTGCAACTGATTAAGTTGCAATGTTCACAACTAACATTTCCTTTTCGTTATCTGATTCCTTACCTACTCTTGTATCCTATCGTAAATGTTTAAAGATTTTGTTTAATTTGTATTTTTCATATAGGACTTTGTCAAAGACTTCGGGACAGTTGAAGTACGCTATAACGTAGGAACTCGAATTGCCTTGGTTTATTTATATTATCTTAATACGTCAAAACATTTGTTGAGCAGAATGTTCACCTCCTAAATCCATGCATGTTGTCACTTAGTAAACTACAGGTCCTCATCACTACCAGTTATTTTAGTATAATTTCCATAATGGTTTCTGATCTAAAATTGACATAATTCATTCATTACCAGTGGGGTGGGTGACATTGAAGTTTTTGATTAGTCATGATCATATCGAGTGGCAGGGCAGGTTCTGCCAGGTGAATGGCTTGCTCCAGTCTCTGTGTTCCCATAAGGAGCCCTGTCTCTAACCCTATCGCAGGTGGATTGAAATCTGACTGAAAACCTACAGCCAAAAGAGGTTAGAGAGTTTTGGATCTGCTTCAAGACTGATCACTGCAATGTTATGTTTAGACTATTGCTGATTATTATTTTAACTCAGAGTGTATATGACTGCTTGTTTGTGGGAGGTACCTCACTACAATGCACAGGTGCTGTTCAGAGACTATTTGTGTTGTGTTGTTTCTGCTAAACGTGTGTGCTGCAACAGAACCATTTCTGACTGTAAATGCACTAAAAGTCACATTTGTACTGTATTTCGTTTGATGCCAGAGGCATTCCCAACTTTGCATGCCATGCTATGATTTAAATGAGGCAACTAGAATGCTTCAAACAAGGAAGAGATTCCCATTCCGCCCCAAAACAATTACCCACATTTGCTGACACCAAGCATTGACAGCCAACACACACACTGTCTCTCTCTCTCTCTCGCTCAAACACAAACACACACACACACGCACGCGCGCACTCTCTCGCTCTCCCCTCCACCTCACACACACACACACTCACTCTCTGTCTACCTCCCTCACACACACACTGTCTCTCTCCCTCACACGTACACACATGTAAATCTATAGGGTGAATTTGTATTTGCGGATACATTATATTTTGTTCAAAAAACACACAATTTATAGACAGTCAGTCTATATGGCTTTTCATAAATTCCTACTTTCAAAATAATACCAGTCTGACTCCAAACAAAATACAAACAGATTCTAAACAAGGCCTCACACCTAACATGCATTGTCTGGCCTAAAATGTCACCTCTTCTTCACACTGATAAAACCATTAGTTCTCTCGGGGCAGTGACTTGAAAGGAATTCAGGGATTTACATTTACATATTAATCAATTAAAACCTTCTAACTCATTAAAGATTTAATAGCGTCATAGGTTTGTTTAATACATCCTCATCAGTGCTGTGATCCTTTGATCTTTTACTTATAAATTCTGTGTCTGATACCACTTCTCTCACCAACACATGAAGAAGGAGCAAGGCTGTGAAAGCTTGGTCTTCAAATAAACCTGTTGGACTATAACTTGGTGTTGTGTGATTTCTGAACATGAACAGTGCCTCAGGCTGTTACCATCTCTTGGTTCCACGCAGACTCTCACAGATGCTGTTAATGTGCTTTTGTTTGAAATTGCTTGCATGGGGAAGGTGTATCACCAAAATGTTAGTCGTGGGCCTGGAGGTTATGTTTTGGTGTTTTCCGTACAGTTCACCCAACATCAGTAAGATGAGTGCAGGAGATGAAATCAAACTACAAGATTGTAGATATATAACTGCAAATTCTATCCAGTAATAATCAAATCTAGTTTTTTTTAAAAAGAATGCTAGAACTGGCCCTGTCCCCAAACTGAATTAATCACAATTGGAAGCTACTGCTAATATGTCCATTTGCTGGTTTTTGAAGATGCTCTTTAAGTGAAGTTGGTTGTTTTGGGTACAAGGATAATATATTTTGCCATTAGTTCTGTATAGTGTTTTAAAATTATTTTCTGTTATTTAAAAGGCAGTTAGCTGCAGGTGGTAGACAAGGCATGTTGACAACAATGTTTGTCTTTTAATTTAACAGTAATTGTCTACCTGTGTGTCTAAATACATCAAAGGACATTTTTCGAAGCAATTTGTTTTCTTCTAATGAAATGTTCCAGTCACTGCTTGATAGCAGTTTCATAGCAAAAAATACATATGACATGCAAATAGGTTGAAAACAAAATAGAGGGAAGCAAAAATACTTCTCCAAACTGCCGCAATTTTGTGTGTGAGAGATAGTAGGAACTGCAGATGCTGGAAAATCTGAGATAACAAGGTGTAGAGCTGGATGAACACAGCAGGCCAAGCAGCATCACAGGAGCAGGAAGGCTGACGTTTCGGGCCTAGACCCTTCATCAGAAATGGGGGAGGGGAAGGGGGTTCTGAAATAAATAGGGAGAGAGGGGGAGGCTCCATCCCCGCCTCTTTGACCTGTCTGTTTCCTCTCCACCTGTCTTCTCCTCTATCCATCTTCTATCCGCCTCCCC